CACACACACGAGGGTCTACCTGTCAAACGCTCTAACTTCAAAACTGACAAGTGGGCAACGGAGACAGGAATCGGCTGGTACTTGAGGACTTTTCTGGACACCGGTATTGCTACGAATCATCCTTTGGAGAAATTAAAGTGCTTCAAAGGGCGACGAAGAGGAAAAGAGACGTTGAAGAACATCCAAAACGAAACGCTTGAGGCAAAACGTCACGCGAACACACGCAAGGCAGTATATCTATATTTTCGACGAGCTGCAGGAACACGCCCGGGTGGTCGACGACCAGCACTGAATTAGGACTATGAGAGACGAGAGGGCTTTGCTGAAATGGGGTGGATCTCTGCAGGCTTCTCTCCTTTCCTTCTCTCCAGGACCACAGATGACAGCCACGCAGACGGTGCTTGGTCAGTTAGAGGCCCAGGGACTTGCGGACGATTTGCTGGGCAAGGACATAGAACTGGGCTCGGTCCTCACGCCACATCTTGGAAGCGTCCACGTTGGCCCCGCTCTCGTCGTTGGGCTCTAAAAGCAGAGTGGAACCCCAAAGCAGAGCAGATCAGCCTGTGAACGAGCCCTGGAAAGATGCCCCCTTCATAATAACCTGAGGGTTAGGAGGTCACCCATATAACCAACTCTGGATAAAGGAATCTAATGAACCAATACAGTCTGGCAGTATTTATGAAGTATGGATAATATTAATTAATGGCAGTTATGGTTCAAGTCACCAGGGGGCACTGCTGCTGTACACGGAACCTGAAGTGCTCTGCTAAAAAATCCAAGTGTTTAAATCATTTTAAATGTCACCTTAAATCAAAGCCAATAAACAATTATCTAGACCAGTGTTTCCCGATCTGGTCCTCGAGGACCCGCAGACAGTACATGTTTTTGCTTGAAGGTGAAAGGGAGCAAAAATGTGGACTGTCTGGCAGGGAGCTGCGAATGAAGGAAAACGTGGACAGGATTTAAACAGAATGATAATTTTCTGGTAAGTTCAATACAGCAATAGGACCTTTAGGTGGACGTCAGGTTGAGATACGGGCAGCTGTCTGGACAGCCGTGATCCCTTGACACCACGTGGCCTGGTTTGTACGCGGCAGCCAGGAGCGAGAGCCACTCACCAGCCAGCATGCTGACCACAGACAGCAGGATCTTCTCCACGCTCTGCACGGGGCTCCAGCGCTCGGCGCTGCTCTCGTAGCCCATGGGGTCATCTCCGGGGGCGTGAAGGATGGAGATGCACACACGGCCATCTGGGTAGACTGGGGGGGGGGTGAGGCCAGACTGGCTTAGAAACACTGATCACAACACACCTTAAAGTCTAAGCGTCACAAAAAAACCTCTAGACTAGAATAAAACACCACATTTTCTTTTTCTTTAAGTTTATGGGTTTATAAGACTGAGACAGGATTACCCACGATGCATCTGTGTCCTGGTATCAGCTGCTGTAAAATCCCACTACTTTGCATGTATATATGTTGCTGCACCTTGAAATATTGATTTTCCTTGTTTAAATAATCAAAGCAGCAGAATCAATGCACCGTGCACAATACATACAGATGCTATTAATGACAGGGGTCCACCAGCAGGGGGCATCCGACTGCCTTCCGTCATCGGCTGTGGTGGAAGGTGTCTCTTTTAGCACAGGGGTAAGCATGAGACCTCTGAACCAATAACAGTTCACCTGTGTAAGCCCAGAACATTCCGTACAGGATATGCTCTATATCTGTGCGGCCTGAACATGTAGCCTCTTAAGGGACCGGTAGCAGTGCACCTCAATTGACAAAAAATAACCAGTCACCCTTTTGTCCTCATTCACAAATACCTTGGTGATGCACATTATTACTATGGCGGCCTTTACTCTGCTGGGGGAGGGGTGGGCAGAGGTACTGAGGCATTGGAATCCTGTCCAACCAGTGAGGGGGAAACGGGGACAAACAAGGCAACCCCAGGACACCGTACGAGGACAGAGAGAAAGGCAGGGAACACGGCGGCCTCTATTCGACAGAGAAACAAACAGGCGCCCCCGGGGGCTGGCAGCCAACACTCATATTCCATTTAAGGCCCCAGTCAGTGCACAAAACATGGGGGGAGGGGGAGCTATACAGAGCCTGGAGAAGGGCCACTAAACATTAAGGAGCCCACCCCCGACATCTCTAAATCTAACCATGGTCGAGTCTTCGCGGGATTCTGAGCTAGGAGGCTTACAGGAAACCTGGACGCTTCATTAGCCAATGAGGCGGCAGGACACTGGGGGGGGGGGGGGGGACGGCGGGAAGCTTGATGACATTGTGCCTCTTTCACAGTACCAGGGTGTGGTTCAGATCGGCATGCTGGTGAAGTGGAACGGACAGACCCAGAGGCGTGCCGCACCAAGAGCTGCAGTCCGGGAGAGACCTGGGGGGGTACTCACTATTGGGGTGAAACATCTCACAGGTGAACCTCATCTTGGGGGGGCTCAGCGGGTAATCCGACGGGAAACTGAGGACGGCTGGGAACACCCCCCCCTCGAAGCATGTGTCCTCGGGGCCCCTGGCAGAGGGGAGGGAGGACAGGGCCCACGTCAGTTTGATGTGTCTTAGGCGTGAGTCACAGACACCATCAGAGAATGCAACGACAGAAGCCGTGCTCAAAATCAGCCTGCTATACTGCAGGAAAACAGCATGTCCGTCCAGGAAGCGAATTTACAGAAAATAAGCTCGGTATCAGGCTCTGGGCCTCAGTCACCCCCAACAGAACACAGCAGCGATGAACTAGAACGCAGAATGAGGGCAGGGCTGAGGAGGAGGAGGACAAGACATCATTTAATATTATTAACACTGAGCAGATGTGTGCATACAGAGACATACTCATCTTACTGATTACCAACAGACACCCAAACGTTAATCTGTACTCTGTCAACGAGGTTAATTACAAAATTATTATTACAGTCATTTACTCTGTAATCAATTGTTGCCACCAGACACAAATATACCCTGTAGTTGGTTGTTTATAAGGTTTAAAAATGGACCCAATGAAGTATCTTCACTACTATGCCATCTGGGGTCCAGTCTGCACCAACAGGAAATGCAGAGAGTCTGGGGACGTGTAAGAGGAAGAAGCAGGTCGCAGCTACATAAGGGTTAACCCAACGATGCAGGATTCCGGCTGGACATATGACATCATCCCGACATGGAGACTGTTTCCCGGGCAACCCGACCCCTCATACTGCAGATTTCAGGCTATGCAATGGGAGCACTGTAGCAGTCAGCTGACTGTGCATCACATCCAAAAGACAAGTCAACCACAAGGACCCGATGACACCCTCTATTTCTAACGAGCAAGACGGCAAGGGCAGTAACAAGCCGGAAAGCAGCATTCATGGGAATTAAAAAGAGAAACACACCTTTCTCATACATTCTGAAGGGTTTCAGAAATACCGAAATGTAGAGCTACCCCTGGGTAGCATCCCGATTCATCCGGTATACCGAGTTTAATCACCCGTACAGTATGAATTTCTCACATTCCGCCATGCCGTAACACAAAGTCTAACATCGGCAATAACGCTTCAATAAGCAGCAAATTAAAAAATAGTCTTCGCTGCTAGAAGCACTAGGGATCGCAGTGCAGAGTGTACTGAACACCCAACAGTAAGAAGGGTAAGCAGAGGTAACAGCTATAAATGTATAATAGCAATTCTCCATATATAACCATTCATACTTGATACTATAAATAGCTACTGCTTCAGTCTATCCATGAAAATTTGGGTTATGTATAATATAATTAGCTCTGCAATGAAATGCATATCGGCAAAGCAAAATCCTTAATATCGATTTATTATGGTAATAATTATTAAAATCGCACTGGATAAGCAAACATGTTGTTACCAAGCTAAATATACGGTTATAATCAATAAAACATGTCACTATCTAGCTAAATGTACATTATTAATCAAATAAAATATGTTAGTCACAATTCTTACAGAGATGAGTACACAGGCATAAATCAAAACATGTTGCTATAGAGCAGAATATACATTAATAATCTACTAAAACATATCAATTACACCATCAGGCTAAATGTATCTTTTTATTAATAAAAGCACACCTTTTTTAAAACATTCATAAACATATTTCATTGACGTAAACACTGGTTGCCACGGAAAGGGTGAACTAAACAAAAAAAAAAAAACTGATATACCATAAAACAAGAAATTTTTAAAAATAATCATTTTTGATCATAGCGCCCAACAACGTAAAACCACAGCTAGTTTCATTCAGATGATAATAAGGCCCAATTAATAACGAAATGTACAAGCAAAAACCAGCATCCAAACTGCACAATGCAAACACTGATAAGCAGAAGAAACTAATTCCACAAGACCTGAGGCTATTTTTCTGTTACATTTACCTTCTGTAACTTTGTCTGATACTTCGTTTTACATCTAGCCCCCCATATGTTCATCATGTATCAGTTTTTGTTTTTTTTTTTAAACAATGAAATATGCAAAACAGTAGTTACCCTCCGGCATGCCTTACCACCAAATGGCTTTAGATAACAGACATGCCAATCTCTCTGAATGCCATCTTTTCACACTGTACAGTATGGATCTTTACTTCCGTCCACAATTTGATAAGCAGATTAGTACTATGCCTAAAGTATTAATGACAGACGTACTGTGACGCTCAAAAGTTGGTAATCTGTATACATTTGGCAAATCCTTATGTGTATTAGATTTGGTTAGCGGAAGCCATGAAGACTGAAGTGGCGGTGAAGACAGGGACAGCTCAGCAACCACAACATTATTTTGAAAGAGGACATATTGTGGTTAAACAAGGTAAAAGACAACAGTGGTGTAGTGGCACATTTTACAGTGCAACTAAGCATATGGATACTCTGAGTTAATGTCCTCCATACCATCCAACTTTGATATTTTTTGTTTCTATGTGAAACGCCCAGCAAGACTTCTGCAAGGTCATGGGCGTGGCCTCCTTGTATGTTTCTCTAACACACTCATATTGCATGCCAGCTGCTCCCCTCACTCACATCAGAGCAGGCACCGACTGAATGAGTGGCCATAATTTTTCCACAGGACCACAAGGCAACAGCACACAGCACAGGTCAGCTGAGACAGCGAGTTACACCCAGCTTTGATGGAAATCACAACAAATGTTTAAAAAAAAAAAAAAAAAAAAAAAAAACATGTATTCAGCCAGGAAGAGAAATCAGCAGGACTCACATGATCAAAGCCTCCCATTCAAAGAAATTCTCTTCATTGATGGGCCCTGGGGGGGGGGGGGAGAAACAGGCCACATCAGATTAAACAGGCTGAAGACAGCCACCCAAATGACGGTCACGTCTGTGGAGATTGGAAATATTTCAGTAAACAAACTAACAAAAGCTCTCATAAAATCCTGACAGAGATTCATAAAACGCGAGTATATTTCTAATTAGCATATGGCTAATATACCCCTCAAATCAAAATATTACTAGTCAACCAAAGATGTTTTTTTTTTCTTTTTTTAATCAAAGTAAGGTGCACTTATTTATTCATAAAAGGGTATTGTGGGTTTATAAAAAGCAGCTAAACATCAATTACTGATAATCCTTGGCACAAATGATGGTTCAAGCAGCTTTTTCCTCTGCACGTCAGTTGAAGAGCCCCTAATATTTTCATTCTTGCTTAAATCTCGCACTGAAACAAAAAGACTAAATGGCTAACAAGTTAGATACCGAGTTCTTTTGTTTCATAAATTGTAACATGAAAGGAGAAATTATCTAAAAAAAAAAAAAACACCCAAACAACCTGAATTGGATTAAACAATGACTGATTAGATACAATTAAATGCAGATTGTTTTGTTTGCTTCTATCAACACAAATTTCACTGAACATTGTGAAATTCATCTAACCCCCCCTGCACAACAGAAGTTACATATGAGCTTGGTTAAAACATTAAGACAGAGGGGACTATGATGGCTGGGAACTGTGCTTCAGAGGGACACTGCATAGTGATTGGCTGGATACATCACTGTGTATAAACCCCAAGTCATATTTACCCTGTAAAGTGTATTCAAGTTGAACTATTTCTTCCCTTACAATGATTAGGTCGGACAACTTGTACGTGTGTGTATTTATAACTTATTAACTTTTGAAAGGCCTCATGTTCAAATATCATTCAAAGCGCTTATGGCAACCAACTCAAATGGTCAGTAATCTGGTTGCTGACAAAGGTGTGACAGTATGTTAAATTTCTTACCTGCCACAATGCCCTCGGGTGGGTTTAGGGTCAGCTCTGTGTGTGAGAGAAGTACTGTTAAAATAACTGTATATTACTTACATAAATTGTATATTAAAGCACATTTCACTACGAACCACTTAAACGTACAAAAAAAAAACACTTTCATGGGGACAGCAGGCAGTGAAGTGGGTTCGCTGGGCAAAAACTAGGGTACTAATGGCGTGGGGTAAGATGACCTGGCGGACAGGATTTATGTAAGAGCTACATGCTCTTAATATTCAGAGGCAGAATTTTCAGCTTTACAGTGTGAATGGTCACGTAAAGTAAGCCAGATGCTTCATAAGGCAGGTAAGTAGAGACGGCCACGCAGCTACCTGTTAGCTAAACCAGCTCCCACTTGTGTCGCCCTGCTTTTAAATTAACCTACGAAAACGAGTCTCCTGCTTGTAATAAACGAAGCTCTTAAAACACTCAGAAATAACGGGAGTCCATGGGAGATTAAGGCTGCGACGCGTCGCATACGAAGGGTTTCATAAGCATGCAGAGCAGACGGGAAGCCAGCCCTGTGCAGCCAGCAGACCCAGGTGGACGGCAGGGAGATCAGCCAGCGGTGCAACACTCACGCTTGTATTCCGCCATCAGTCTTTTTAACGCTGTACCTGCCATCTGTGATGAACGTAAAACTACGAGAGGCTGAAACGAAATAAAAGACTATCTATGCGCTTGAGTAGTTTAACCCAGGTTAACGAGTAGGTAGGGCTTCCCAGAACCAGCTACCTAAAGATCCGAATGTTTAACAACACAAACGTGGTGGAAGATCCTCTTCCGGTTATATAAAACCTGTAGCGAAAAGCGAGCGCGCCACCTGCAGGCACTTCGTGTCACTTCACCGCCAGCGGCTGACAGGGTACTTTTCTCGCTGTTTAAAACATAACCTGCATTCATTTTGCATAGTTTGTCATTAAAATCCATCCATTTGGCAAGAAAAATCCGTCCTCTATGTGATGTATTCTTTCTTACGACGTTAGAGCGTGACATTTATAAATAATAGTCTTTTCCGTGCTAAAAATAGCACAGTCCTATGACCATATTACCAAAACCAAGACTGCATGAGCTTTTTATAAGTAATGATAAATATTTATTTTTAATTATAAACGTAACAGTGCTTTTTCCCCATGGTCATAGGTACTCAGCATATTTATTACCAGCTCACTTTCATGCTTAACATTGAACAAAAAGTCATTGGCCGAAACATAAAACCTGCATACCAAACTATATTTATTGTATACAGTAGTAAATGACAACAATGTACAAATCAGTAGAGAAACATGACAAGATCAATGGGCGGGTTTCCCCCCCCAAAGGAAAAAAGCAGAAAAGAGACACGTGATGC